AATTTTAACTGTTCTTTCGGTCGGGGCTTTTTGGGGGGGTGTTTTTTTTAAAAAAATATTTTTTTTTTTTTTTTTTTTGTTTTTTTTTTTTTTGTTTTTGTTTTTTTTTTTTTTTTTTTTTTTTGAATTCGTATAATATTGATGCTGCCCAGCTGGCCTGGTCGGGAATTATCATCTCGATAGGAGCCTCGAAACTCATTTTCAAACTTTCTCCAACTCATTACATCACGACTACTCATCACACATGTCTTCACAATCTGCTCTCAAAGTCCTCATCGTCGGCGGCGGCATTGGTGGCCCTGCGCTCGCGTATTGGCTAGCGAAGCTGGGTCACGATGTTACCGTCGTCGAAAGAAACCCGTCTCTGCGCGCCCAGGGCCAGCAGATTGACATCCGCGGTCAGGGCGTGTCCGTGATCCGCCTCATGGGCATCGAGCCCGAGATTCGCGCAAAAGGCGTCGACGAGGCAGGCCTTCGCTTCGTCGACCAGAACGGCAAAACGGTGGCCACCTTTGAGGCGAACAAGTCCGGTACCGGCAAGCAGAGCTTCACATCAGAATTCGAAATCATGCGCGGGGACTTGGTTCGCCTTCTCTTCAAGAGCACAGATGAACTGGGCGTCAAGTACATCTTTGACAACTCTATTGCGTCGTTTGAACAAGATGCCGACTCGGTCACAGTGAAACTGAGGAACGGTCACACCGACAAGTATGATCTGGTGGTGGGAGCCGACGGCCAAGGTTCGAAGACCCGGAGACTTATGCTCAACGGAGAAAAAGACCCATTTGTCCCGTTCAAGCTGCACTCGGCGCTGTTCACGGTGCCGAGGGAGAAGACCGACGACAATTACGCGACGGTCTGCGTTGTGCCGAAGCAGAGGATGATGATGAGGAGGAGTGACAACCCCGAGACCAGCCAGGTGTATTTGGGTCTCGTGCCACAAGACAAGGAAACCGACAGGCTTCTTCAGGAGTCGCAGAAGAACCGCGACCTTGACATGCAGAAGCGGCTATGGATTGAACTCTTCAAGGATGCTGGCTGGCAGACGCCGCGATTTATCGACGGGCTTGAGGCGGGGGGTGTGTCTGACGACTTTTACAACTTCCAAATCGGCCAAGTCAGGATGGACAAGTGGTACAAGGGTCGTGTCGTACTCCTCGGCGACGCAGGCTATGGGCCGAGTCCATTGACTGGCAGCGGTACGACGTCGGCGTTTGTTGGCGCGTATGTCATGGCCGGTGAGATTTCGAAGCACTGCACCGGCGATTCCACGAAAGCAGGAGTGCCTGCTGCTCTGGAGGCGTATGACAAAACCCTGCGACCATTCATGAAGACCGTGCAGGATATTGCGTGGCGGCCGAACTTGCTGTACCCGAAGTCGGCGTTCGGAATCAAGGTCCTCAATACTGTTCTCTGGCTCGTCTGCACTCTCAAAATCGACAAGCTGTTCCAGAGACTGCAGTCGGACGACGTCAAGGGGTGGGAGCTTCCTGACTATCCTGCGTTGCCGGTGAAGGGGACCAAGAAGAATGCGTGATGGTCACATGGACGATGTCTTTCTAGCTGCTCCAACTGCAGACGAGATCTTGCGCAACCGCATCCTTTGGATCCGTAGTGGGTTTCTCGGCCTTGTCATTGGAATACTGTGTTTTCGATTAGTACTTCGGAGTTATCAGGGAATGAACAAGCTGGCTCGAGGTTTAGGAACGTACGTAAAATAGGCGCGTCGTTGGATTTTACTCAAAGTAGTGTTCGTCTTATGAATCTGGCCTTACAACGATCTTTCTCGTCCCGAACCTTGCAGCGGATGCAGGATGATAAACTTCCCGTGACAGCCGATTGCTACCCGGTAGATGTGCAGTAGGCAACGTCGGAATTATCCTCCGTTGAGATCGAACCTAGTCTGACAGGTTACGAGGGGCAAGGCTGCCTTGCAATCATCGTGGTTGGCATTGTGGTTGCAGCTGCGAGAGCATTTCCTCGCCCGCACGCGTACATAGGTGACAATGTCGGTCGGTCACGTCGTGGACCACACCTCATCACAACCGAGGTCTTTATCGTAGCTTGAGTTAAAGGAACAAACAGAATACTCAGATTGGACATCGAATGTTCAAAAACATGGTTGTAGAGTTCATTGGTAGCGTCGGATCGCTCTCCAGTTGTGTGCAGGAATTCGGCTGCTGATGTTGGGCGGCGGATATTCCTCGAATAATTCCAGCTCGCAGACGGTCGCAAGTGCCCCCAGCTGCACTTTGGAAGGCACGGGCCCCACTTTGACATGAACCGTGCGCTCCGGACACGTCGGCAACAAAAAAACGGCGTCCCAACATGAGCATCATGTCCGGACACGATGCATTATCAAAACACCACAACTGCGTCACGATAGCAACAGATGCGGCAAAAATAAGGACGCAGGGCATTGAACCCAACCCGATTTGAACGGATAACCTTTCGATGTCTCACTGGAGTCGAACGCGCTACCGTTGCGCCATGGGTCCTTGTTGAAAATTACTGACCACATCTTGTCTTAAGATGTATTCGTGCGGGGTTTGCGGGGCCACCACAACTGTAGTGGGGCCCCTACGGTAAATTTGGAACCCTCTGCCGCTGACGGGCTCGAAAACCCCAGAAAGAATTGAGTCTTCGTTGTGCGCGTGGTCATTTTCGGCCGAGGTGGCTTGATGTCGCTTTCGATGTTCGGTACACTTTTTCTCAACCATTTTCAGTGCTCAGAACGCGTGACTTCTTCAGCGGCTTAATAAAAGCCCGAGACATGAATGCCTTGTTGTGTGCTGCTTGCTTTACCGGTACACTCGGTATGAGCGCGACTTGAACCGAGATTCAAGTTTATCAGCAGAAAGGACAAAACCTCGCCCACAAACTCTTTAGTATATCTATCGGTTTCCTGCATCGAAAAAGCACCCCTGAGCCCGTAATGCCCTCTCAAGAATCTCCCGAACGTCATATTGCTTCAAAGGTCCTTGTCGAAGAACATGAGGATAATGTGAATCATGGAGCGTGCGTGTGGGGACGGCGGCGTACCTCAGGTACTACCACTCAGCTCCAGTGGGCAACACAGCTGTCAGAATCGTGCCAGCTGCAACTTTTCCGGTCGTAGCTTCAGCTTGGCGCGGAAATTTGATCGAAGGGAGATTGCCAGCACAACAATGAACACCGCCGGCTCCTGCAAGTACGACGTCGGTAGGAAACAAACTGGGACACGAACTATTAGCTATGTTGTTTCCGGTGGCTAATGTAGCGTTGGATGACTGGTGATCCAAGAGTCTCATCCAGTAACGTAGGATAGCGATCTCAAAGCAAAATGCCTCTTCAGAACCCAGGCACCTAGGCGCCTTCCAAATCGAAGCCACAGCTATCACTCTTAGATGCTGATAAGTCATGTTTAGGGTGCATTGTGTTTTCAAGTCTATTCCGATTATCTGCCTACAATAAAACAACAGAGGGCCACTTGTGTGTCGGTCCTCTTTCGAAAGTTCGTTCCAGGTAACGCCTATCACATCCATGATTCCCTCACGTCCTTCCCATCAGAGTCGAACCCCTTGCAGATTTTCCTGCTCACTTGTGGCGGTCCTTGAGCCGATCAGAGACGAGGCGACCATCCCCCGGCATGTTGCGGAAAGTGCCTGGACGAGCGACTCAATACGCTCTGTGTGGAGGCTTCGTAACCGTTGGCTTCCATCCTGGGGAGCCTGGAGGAGGTGCGTTGGTGATCACGCCAGGAATGGGCTTGATAGATGGCTTGTAGCCGGACGAACCAGGCGCAGCGCCAAAAATGATACCGGGACCCGGGTTCTCGAGGTCCTCGCCAACAACTTGGCCAGGCTGGGCCCAGACGATTCTCGATTGTCCCGGCACAGGCACGGGCTGCTCGAACTTGCGCTTGCAACTGTCGGACTTCTGCGCCTCTATCTTGCGAGCAGCAAGTTGAGTCTTGGCTCGCTGTGTGGTGCCCCTGATCACAAAACGGTTAGCAATTTGAAACGAAGATGGGGCGGGATGCGGAACCACTGACATCTTCGCATTCGAGGATGTGTTCACCTGCCAGTTCTCGTCGTCCCAGCTGGCCTCAGCCTCGAGCCTGTCGTGCTTGGCACTGTTCTCCGGAGTGGTCCAATCATTCTTGCCCGTGATGTTCGTGCTGTTTGAGCGCCATATGTGCAGAGTCAACTTCTTCATGGCCTTGAAAGTCTCAGAATCGCCCGCGGCCTCCAAACAGTAAGGGCATGTGAAGTCGCGGTCATTAGGATCCGCTGCCATTCTCGCGTCACGATCCTGGTGAGTGCGTCTAATCCACTGTTTGTAGGGGGTGTGGAAATCACTGGGCGACATGCTCGCGGAGGTGTCCAACGGTGTAGGTGTGTCTCTTCCTGTCATCGTCAACACTGTCGTTCTCCTCGCATAGGGCGCATGTTTCCGTCCCCTGAGGCCGATACTGGCCGAGTTCATGCGACATGTGAGATGAGATTCATGGCGATCTTGGCTGCTGTTGCGTAGGGAATATCGGCAGCAGCTTCGATGTAATTGACAGCAGCATCGGCGAAGTCTGTCTCCTCCGGGACGTTGATAGTGACATCGCGATCTTCTTTTTGATCTTCAGCATCTTGTTCTTCGGCAAGAACAATGTTCGTTGCTGGAAGCCCACCTTGAACTCTCCTCATCGGGAAGGTGCACCTTCTCCTTCCAGAACCCAGAATAGCGCTCCTTCCAGAAAAGAAGACGAAAGAAAATATTTTTACTTGGCTCCTCAAAAATGAAAAACAAAGTCGGCCCTAAGGCTCCCCCAGTCTAATTCTCAAGTCCAGCTTCGCTGCGCGCTTCGGTCCATTCAACTACAACATCTTCACAAACAGCTGATTTGGTCTTTCTTTCACCTCCTCTCACAGCTGCTTCGTGAACACAAGTGAAATTTAGCAACTTGGCATCAAGTACTCTACGCATGATGACTGGAAGCGCAGACACCAAGGACACGCACAGTCAATATTACCCTAATCGACAGCAGACTTGACTTTTCACGCTAATCACTCTTTCCACAGAGGGATGCAGCTCTCAGACGGCCTCACCTGAGATGCGGAACTTGATTCTCGAAAAGCTCACTGTGCTCAGAGTGCAGAACGATCATTTGATCCAGCAGAATATGATCATGACCCACCAAAACCAGGTCATGATCAATAACAACATGACTGTCGTCGAAACCCTCAAGAGCATGACCAGGTTGGTTTTATTTTCCTTTTAATGGCATATGATCCAATTGCTGACCATCTGCCCGGCAGTCCCGCTACAAGCACCCCTGACAAACCCGACACGCCTGTCAATGACACCGAGGGCAAGGGCAAGGAGCTGCCCTCCAAGGCTGACAACAATCACTGATCTCGTTGCACGCTTGCATTTGATCGAGGATCTGGATAGCGAGTCACACTATGCGCGGGCTCATGCCCAAGGATCGAACAACTTCACATCGAGATTAGCCAATACTCCAATACCTAGCTTCCACGACAGAAGTCAAGGTACTTTTATTTACATAGCTAGGGAAATCAAAGCTCGGTTGTTCTGACACAGCCACTAAGACCTCCAAATTAATTACATGTGTACAAAGGGATAAGAGCTAAAGCGCCAAGCTACCTGGCCACCACCGTTGATGACACCGGTATCAAAGGTAGCTCATGGAAGATCATCCAGAATCCACGAGAAAGTCTCTTTCTCATCATCTTACAAAAGCAGGGCAAGTACACCGACAATACCTGCCAAGCTCATGCCCTTGATAGCAGCACCTGCTGTGGGAACAGTGCTCGGCATCATGGTACCTGTAGCCGTGGCCATCGACGTGGCTGAGCCGGACATGGTACCTGTAGCGTTCATCATACCTCCTCCGGTTGCATTCTTCGGCGCGACAGCAGCTTCGTAGCTCGCACAAGTCGAGTTGGGCGAGATGGGGCAGCTGTTCTCGATGCAGATCGCCTGGAGCTGGGGTCCCTGTGCAGCAATGGCAGTGGCTGGCGGGCTGCAGCGCATACCAAAGAGCTGGGATAGCGCCTTTCCGACTGCCTGGAGGTCGTCTTGAGCAACACCGAAAGAGGCAGCCGCCATAGCCACCTGTTGAATAAAGTATCCAAGCTCGTTCATGTCTAGGTCCATGAATTTGTGGACCTGGTACATGGATGCGTGTCCGTCATAGCCAGGGAAGCCGGTCATGCCGTACTGGGAGCAGCCAAGCAGGGCACCGAAGAATTGGTAGAGATGGGTCAAGAGGAAGCTGGGAAAGATCGTTTGTTAGCCTCATAATGGTTGTCAAAGATGTCGCACGGCTACATACTATTGATTAGACTTGTCGTCGTTCGCCGGCATGTTCTTCATCAGTGGCGCAGCGCCACCTCCATCAAGGAAGTTGACGGAAACGCCAGAGCTGCCACCGCGGTTGGACGAGGCCAGGTCGCCGTTGAAGTATGGCAGCAGATTGACTTCAGCGCCGTTGTAAGTGCCCGCCGCAAGAATGCCAGGAACTTTGACACCGACGTTTGGCATCGTATCTATTGAGACGAGTAAGTCATCTGCAAAGGTGGACTCAGGTGATTAAGCTCACAGTTTCCAATCACCACTGTGTTGACAAGAAGAGTCAACAGAGTGTATTGGTTTTCGGCCGTGTTATTCTTGAGAAGTGCTGTGGTATAGTAGTCGCAAATTGGAGTATCAGCTGGACGCTGAGCGGCGACACTGCTGGCCGCAGCCAGGGCAACTGAAATGATTTTGTAATGCATTTTTGGGTATTGTGATTTTGTTTGACTTTGATACGGAAGAGAGAAGGACTTTGAATGAGCCTCTCCTTACTTGGTACCTGCGATGAGAGCCCTTTTATAATGAAAGGCCTACCAGTTAGAAGCACATAGGCAATCCAGCCCCTCTCCAAGCTCCCGCTTCAAGATGCGCATTTTGCCGTTTTCCGGTCAAATGACCTCCGAGGAGACGTTGACAGCCATCATCTCAGATGAAATGATGGTCTCGTCAAGCTTTGGCACTAGCTGTTTGTTCGCTGATCCCAAGCTAGTGAGCACCAGGGACTAGCGCCGGGGCAGCTCCGATCCGTGGGCATCAACGACCAGGTCGGGACAATAGCTTACATTCTTTGAATTAGATCGACTCCTATTGGTAGGAACGACCCATTGGGCTCGGATCAAACATGCCCGGCAGTCCTAAGACAACGACGTGGATACCGGATCGCAGCCAGGCCGTTGACCTAAGTAATGACCCATGTCATCGGTATTCCTACGATTTCTACCTGTACAGGAAGGGATGTGACGAACGTGGTTCAAGAAGAACACGCCCAACGCAGAAGGGTTTTGGAGCTAAGGAACGGAGGGGAATGTTGCCGGCACCTGCTACCAAAGCTCCTGGGGAAGCTTGCTGACAGCTGGAAACCGGCTTGGGCTTTCACGGATTGACTTCTTTCCGAGAGACTGTCCAAAGTCATCTGGCTGTCTCACGG